ATGTTTGTGTGACTTTTTAACAGAGCTTATAAATCAACGCAAAAAATCTTATATTCGTTTTTTCGTGAAAAATCTCTTCCATCCCTCATTTTTGGAGGCCGGTACAACAATTGAGGTTGTATTTCATTATTCATTCTATTGTAAAAACTATTACAATCCATAGATTTCCAAGATTTCCTCCCCCGGATATATGAATATTTCCTTCTTCATCCAACAATATCCACGATGGTGCACCCCAAGGTTCGATTCTGGTTCTAACGTTGTTTTGGTCATACATCAATGACATATAACAGCATTTTATATGCGTGTGTGGAGAATATGCTGAAAAACACATAACTGTTTGTATAAAAAGAAAGAAGAAGAAGAGAGCTTCAATTCAGATAGATTCAATGACTTACTGTGCGACAAGGGCGGATACTGCATTGATTGTCATTGATCCACAGTATTTTGATCAATAAAATGAAAGTTTATTTAAAAAACAAGCTTGCCATGAGAAGTACCCTTGACTTGCCCTGACAATTTAGAAAAAGCTTTTCGTTTTTGCACAACAAAGTTCTTCAGGCTTGAAAAGCTCTTGATTCTATTTTTATATTCGTTTATTTTTGCATGTTTTAATACCCTCTTTTATTTTTTGTGTGTCCGGTTGCTTTTAATTTCTATATCTTCAGTCAGCTATTGTTTTTATTGTTATTTCTAAGTATAATCTTTGATCTAGTTGTACATTCTGTTGATGCGCGTTTCTTTTTTTGGTTTTAACTTTTGTTGTTCTCTTATATATATTTGTATTTACTTTTCTTTTTAGCTGATGGAATCCGGCCTTTTATTATTATTATAACAAATATTATGCTTCTGGTAATATTTCCTCCTACATCTCACAATTTCCTCGCTGGTGTGCCTCAAGGTTCAGATCTGGTTCTACGGTTCTCCTGGTCTCCGACAGCATTTTGTGATATGAAAAATGTGCTTCTTCGAAAAATATCAAACCGCATCTAACCAAGGCAGATCCGTTACCCGAAATAAAACAGCACAAAGCGCCATCTACAACCAGATCGGTAGTCTAATTTTCGACCTCAGACTTGGCAATGGACTTGATAGACCATAAACTTCAGGTAAAATAAAACCGAAACGATTGATACAATAGCAAAAGACCTTTACATTTTATGTTCGACGTCGAGCCTGCTTTGGAAGTGAAAACTTAAAAATAGATTTCCTGTTATGTGTTTGCACCAATTCAATACTTGCTCATCTTTACGATCAAATATTTGCCGAACATGATCTCATCTTTGACACTAAAACACTGTAAAATGGTGAAGTCATGTGATATGGATTCGCAAAATGCGATAACGTGGCACTTATAAATAATGTTTCTTAATTAAATAACATACATACAATGTTTGGAATACCGTTTCAGACTGAAGCACTTATCAGTGATACTGCATAACCAATGATACGTAGTTTTTAACAGCTTCAAGGTCTAGACACCCTGTAGAGCAGAATATAACCGGAGACGATCTGAATCTAGAGAGAACTTAATTTTCTTCTTTGATAAAAGAAGCAAAATATATATATATATACGAGTATATATCTAGAAATATGATTCTTATGTAAAATGATCTACATTGATCTACAGGCCATGTGAACTGATTTTGATATAATTCAAACCAAATAGGATATTAACATATACTAAATGACATATAAATCCGGAGGAATCCACAGTTTTTTGTTGAAAGACATGTTCATCACACTGTTGGAGTTATGGTTTGGGGTGATATAGCTTATGGTTCCAGGAGACCTTTAATCTTCATCAGAGGTAACATGAACGCGCAGCGTTATATCCACGAAGTTCTAGAACCCCATCTTTTACCCTATCTTGACCCCCTGGCAGATCCAACTTTCCAACAAGATAATGCCCGACCACATGTTGCAAGAGTCACAATAGACTTCTTTTAACATAATGATGTCACATTGTTACCATGGCCACCAAGATCTCCCGACTTATCCCCAATTGAGCACGTGTGAGATATGATGGGTAGGAGATTGCTCAATTTGCAACGTCCTCCTCAGACTCTAGAAGCACTTCGAGAGGAGTCGGTGGTTGCCTGGATTTATATGTCACTTAGTATATTTCTAAAGCTAAAAATTCATGTTCTGTGTTAAAAGCTTTAGTACCAATTTTAGCCTTAAACAGAGGTATTAATCACTTTTCACGCTACTGTGGGCATCATGATTCATCTAGATTACATGCAAAAAATATATTTTACAAGCATTGTTATATGCAAATATTATATTTACGATTATGACAGCTTCATCGGAATATTCATCAGTTACACAAAACATTTAAATCGAAAAACAAAGACACCGGTACTGTTTATAGATTAAGCCGTTCAATTTCCTTTTGTTAGTTTTTTATGATCAATGCGAACGCGGATGTTCCCCAAGGCAATACATTGCAAATCTAAGCTTTTTTATAAATTGCGACCAAACCTTGACTATCCTAGTGAACTTTGATAAGCTGCGAACAGGTCAAAAGGCGATTAACCTTTTTAAAGCCAAACACGTATCAAATACCTAATAATTATCAGTTTGATGGGTCTTAGTTTAATACATAATTGACTATTAATGCTATTAAGATTCCAAATTGGTAGGTATTTACTTCATGTTACGATTGAAATTTTTGTTAGTTTGTTATCGAACCTGGTAGTTAGGTGTAGTTATGGAATTAACCACTGTAGTTTAAATTTTGCCTAGAACCAGAACTGTGTCATTATCTGGCTCATGGAAAATTAGACATAATACAATCTTAATCATCTTAAATATACTGAATGAAAAGGTAAACATCTACCTATGTTTATTAGAATTCAAGAAGCACCCTATAGACACCATTGTTTGAAATTGATGTCATTTCGAGAACACAACAGAAAAAACTGTTCCACAAAAAATAGCTTCTGAGAACTAAAAACTCGCGCAAGTTCATACTTGTACTGAAGGCGGATCTCATGTTCCCCTATCTCTCCTCCAACCCCGGCAATCCCAGTGTTGCCAGATCGAATGCTACGTTGCCAGTCTCTTTACTTAATTTACAGACCTATGACTGTTAAAAAGTTGTATGAACCCGCAATAAAACTGTTTCACGTTTCAATTTCAGTCTTTCCCTAAAGCTCTTACTTGCTACAGTCTGAGATATAGATGTTTCGTTTCGTAGTCGCACCTAGTTACTTAATATATTTCCATTCTTTTTTTGGGGAGTATGAAGTTAATCTGCTTGACGCCATTTTTTATGTCTTTTCTTTCTTTCCGTCTGCGTTACAATAGATAATGAGCAAAGTTCAGGAAAGAATTCTTCAGACCGGGCTGTTTGTTTTAATGAGAACACGGAAGTGTGCTGTGAATATAATTAGCCGAAAGATACCGAGCAGAATACTAAATAGGAATCTTGATAGGAAGAATGCGTGTTGAATCCGATTCCGAAAAGATATATTACCTTATGCGTAGGAAGGAAAATGTATGGTCGCAAGGGATTCAGAGATTTTTTTGTGATGTTACTTTCATAAACCGAAGTAAAAACGTCTAAACTGTTGCTTAGAGAAAGAATATTTTGCCCGATTACGTCGTTTGCGGTTCTCTCTAACCTCAAATCTGAAACGACTACTAGGAAGGAACTAGACAGTGACGTAACTCTTCTTTTCATCGCGTCCAAACAAGGTCAGCTGCGAATTTATAATACGGTCAAATTATAAATACAATCGGTACATCGCTTATCTTCCCCAACAAATTAATGATGATGAATCGTTCGCACTCTAGGAATGCCCGGGTGGAGGGTGGATCCGAGGGAACAATATCGATGATAAAATTTGTTGCACGAACCTGCTTTTCTTGGCGGAGACAAAAATCTCAGAGTCTGCACCGATCGATCACCTTAACCTCCCAAATTACAAGGTGCACTCCAATCTGAGAAAGTACGGGGAAGTTGTGGATTTATCCGCAGCAGAGACATTTCTTTGGAATCAGACCGGCCTCATCTCCAAAACGTCCCCCAAATTCATTCGCTGCCTAATAGAATTAGAAAAATTAATATTTGTATATTCTAGATAAAATTTGATATTTGTACATTTCCAAGCTTTTTATTCATTGCATTGATGTGAAGACGAATCCTTTTTGAACTCCAACTTTTTTCCACGATATCGCTTCATTGTAGGCACGCTAGACGAACTCATCAGGCTTACACCGCTCATTCTAACTCGGTCTCTATGGAGATTGAGGCGTAATCTTTCTTTGGACGATTGATGTGCTGTTTAAGAATATACAAATTTGGTACTGTTGCGTCTTGTAGAACTATTTCACTGTTTTCCCACTTGAAACTTATATAGGGTGGTCTGATACATTATTTTAAAACAAGAAAAGTGTCTAGGAAGTGTCTTTTTTCATGAAATGTTTTTCCCAAAACACTATTTTTTAGCAGTTATTTCACCCATCTACCATATGACGCTGAAGTCTGTGGATATGTCATATATGAGAGGCGCTTGCCTGCGGTGTTGCCGGATTGGGCTCCGTATTTAGGGAAAAATATGAAAAGTGGAAGATTTACATACATTTATATTAATGAAGCACAAAAACAAAAAACTGAAACAAACAACAGTAGTAAAATTAAAAGTGATTCTTACTAAGTATAAAACAAAAAATAACAAACAGGAAAAAAAGCAATTTGTATGAAATTAAATTGTTCTTCGTTTTACTATTGTTTTTATTTTTTGTTTTTTATAATTATTTATAATTTATCATTTTTTAGCTTATACTGTTATTTTTTGATTTATACTTATTATCGCCTTTTATTTTGCTACTGTTGTTTGTTTCAGTTTATCGTTTTTGTGATTCATTAATTGATATACATAAGGAAATCTATTTTGACTGTTCTATAACAGTGATTCTTGAATCCCCAGACTTTGACACCACGCCTCGCGACCTCTCAATGTCTCGATCTCTCGATGACTCAGTTACCGCTAAATACGCGATCCGTATGCACGACTTTGTTTAAACAATTATTCAACGCTCGATTGCAACAAACAACGCGGAGCATTGTGCCGGCTAATTGGTGCAAATTCGTTAGAACCGGTATACAGGGTGAGTCTTGTTTCTTACCTGATATGGAACGTCGAAATATCCTACTGCCGAAACAAAACATTTCTGACAGAAATCTCGCAAAACAAACTTCTTTAAAGTTTGATTCCGCCCAGAAAAAAATGCGTGTATTAATAAAGTTATCAGGAATTTTAATCGTTAAGCAGCTCCGACGGGTCAAACCGTGCGTGCCGCCTTTTTGCTCGTCGCCGAGTGTCTACTAAGTGTCCTCTCCCCGTCGTCGTCCCAAAAGAGTCCATGACCGTCTTTAAGACTTGTTTTTTCCTTGAAAATAAACAAAACACAAGATATGTGAAGAACTTGAAGCCAATAATAATAAATACATCGTTCTATAACTTATTTCTTGCTAATAAATAGCCTCAATCTTCATAAAAATACCAGACAAAATGGTTCGGAGTTACGATTTGGCGTCCATATCAGGTAACAAACTTGACTTGAGTTTCAGCGCGTTTTTAGTGTAGTTATCTATTTGTGAGAAAACGCTTAGCCAAAATGGATATGGAAACAGAAGATTTAATGTGGAAGGCGATCTATACCAGACTGCAGTCGCACAAGTCTCAGGATCATGCGCCAAGTGATCATGAAATCAGGTAATTATTTTTAAAAAACAATTTCCAAAATACTCGAACTTTCTGTTGCTTAAAGATATCTCCATCACTCAAGTGCGTATTTCTCATCTACGTCGTGTCTGTTGTGTATAAATTCGTCATAAGTACTGAGTCAATCTACTCGACGAAATATTCGAAGAACCGTCATAGGCGGAGTAACACAGATCAAAGGTTATGCGAAATAGGTGGTACTTTTAAGGATCGTACAATTTAGGAGCCTTGGACGCTAGTTTCATATCGCGGGCCATAAATGCTCATTTAACGCCCGAGGTACATTAAAAGTATTGTTTTGTGGGCTATAAGGGGCTTATTTGAGTAAAGTGCAAAAAAAATGAGTTCTGATTTTCACTACCATGGTCAAAATTTTACTTGTTTTCTAACAGGTATATAGTAATTGTTGTCTCGTTCAAAATATTCATAATTACAGATATTTAGGGCCGAAATCAGATTACAATTAGCGGTTTGCACGCTAATGAAGTTCTAATAACAATGCGTAATTAATAAATGTCCATAATTAATCTGCATTTCAAATACAAACCGACGTTTAATAACCAATATATCGATAAAGTTGCCTTGAAACACATTTCTGCCATTGACATTTGAAATATCTATTAGGAGAAATCACTTCTATGTGCAAGCTAATACTAGAAACTATTATAACCAGGATAAGATTTGATCAAAGATGGCCATATGAAACCATAGACTTGAAATATTCTAACAAGAGAAAGATCTCTCTTTATAAGCCTTGCCTTTGACGCTGCTTATACACAAATCGTAAAAATCCTTATATTAAATCCACTAAGTGTTAATTATCTTTTCATCTCCTACACTTGACAGTGAAGGTAATAGCATATTTGCAGCATTTCAAACTAATCATTCTCTCGCGCAAAACACAATAGATCAATTTAAAAAATAACACACCTATTAGCATCTTGTATAAATACACAACAATAGACAACATATACGTGCCTTGCGTACCCAACGATCATACAAATTAGGATTTAAAATACTAACATTTTACATGCAAGTCCGCGCACTTTACTGTAACACACATTACACAAACCATATTTGATTAAGTTTATTAATAACACATTGCAACACTAATTTGTGAGTCATATCTTTCATCTTAGGTAAAAGCACGTCTAAAAATAACCACAGGCATATTTTCCGTCGTTATTCTGCTACATTTCCATCTCTCTTCTCAGTAAAGTACCACGAAAAATATTGCTGATCATTTGTGTAGTTACATTTCTGTTCGTTGAGAATTATATGTCAATTTAATTTGCGTATCTGTGTTTAGAAGAAACCCCCCAGTGTTTTGATAGCGACTGTACGTCACATCGACGTCATATCCACGTCTTACAAACGACTTTGTATTTGGTCTCTTATACGAAATACTATGACGTCATATAATGACGTCAATTTGGAGTGACATTACTAAAATGCGTCAGTATGACTTGTTCACTAGGCCATTTCTTGGGAAAATCTATTTATATAATGTTCTGCCTAAAATTCGACCCTATAACACTTCAGCCTTAATATCACATTATGCAATAGGATATGAAACTAGAAAATAATAATACCAATTTGCTAATACATTCTGTATTGTTCCGTTCATAAACAAAACCGTATGCGTTCAGCGGACATGCAATATCCATCCTATTGTTTTTTTAACATCATTCAATTTACTGATGCAATTGGTAGGCATCATTTACAAACGATATCGACACAGTTCAGTCGAATCTGAAATTTATAAAATATGTGTTTAATTTCGTTATTGAGTGATCAGGGCTTCCATTTGAAAACCAGCACTTTTATTTATATTCATTCCATACAGTCGCACTTCAATTCATTCCGTATAAAATCACTACACTAGCTGGGATATGAAATCTCTGAAAACATAGAAATCGTAGTTATGTCCATAATTACATTTTTTATGAGCCGTTTTTTGTCTTACATTCTTGGAAAGGAAAATAATCAAACCGCAATTGTGCCTTTGATTTCAAGAAATTTTATACGCGTTCTGATGTTCGTTTATTGTTTTAATTTCATTTTTTATGTATATTACGTTCTTAGATATCACAAAAAAGTTCGTGTAAGCTTTTTAAGGTATAACTAGTCAGTTTTCAATTTCTCTTAAATTATTTTAGGGAGTCCGTGATTAGACAGATTTGGCGTACTTAGTAAAAAGATAAAAATATCATTTCAGAGCTCCGAGGAGTTGGAATGGTGCTACAGCGGTATAAATTGAACACAAGCTATAAAAATTGCCTGGACGCGGTCAGTGTTCTATTATACCTCATTGAAAATTATTTTTGACAGTCTGCGTGAGTAACGTACGTATATTTTTATTATGTGTATCTTAATTTTCGTTAAAAAACAAACATTACACAATTGTTGGCGTCACCTCCATTTTTAGCTGTACCAAACTGAACTTTCTCTAAAATTATATTATCAGTACAAACACACATCGTTTTCGTCTTGACCTACATATTGCAAACAATAGATTTGTTCTAGCAAGCAAATCACGATCGGCAAGATTTACAGAAAACAATATTGAAGATATAAGCTCAATGCAGAGAGTTGCTTACGATTCTATAAAATATTTGGTCGTTTTGCTTTTTGCGTACAAGTTGAAATAGCAAAGTTTCCATATAATGATGAAAATAAAATGTGCATGCTATGAAAAAGTCTACAACAATTCGAAATTTACCACTGGGAACAAACCTAATTAAACTTCATACTACATCTTCATTCCACGTCCAGGCAACCCGACTTACACCTCTCTGCTACGCTGGTTGCATAAGTTTGACTGTCATTACATGGCCCATTTTTAAATCAATAACAAGATAACCTTACATATTTATTAATAAAAATTCCACTTATGTTGTCAACGATTCATTCCTTTAACAGTTTTATCATTTAATTAACGTTTATTATGAATAAATTCAGCCTAACTCGGTCGTGTCTGTAAGCAAATCACACAGGCAGTATACAGTGCAGTGCAGTTCTTTTATGTCGTTTTTCGTATCTCTGCAAGATATACAGGATGTTTCCCCGAAGATTCCTCACAAGCACTGTTTATTTCAAGCGAAATATGCATCTGATAAGCAACAAAGCCTTCATAAACGGCAGTTGGATCTCGGCAAGTACAAACAAGGAATTTGAGGTTATAAACCCCGCAAATGGACAAGTGGTAGGTAAAGTCCCTGATATGGACGTCCAGGACACTCAGAAGGCCATAGAGTCGGCTGCCGAGGCTTTCAAGACATGGCAATTCACTACTGCTAAAGAGCGGTCCACACTGCTGAGAAAATGGTATAATTTGTTGGTTGAGAATCAAGAGAGCATTGCGAAGATCATGACTGCGGAATCTGGAAAGCCTCTAGCTGAAGCCCTAGGTAGGTAGTTATGATTTCTTCGAAGTGCGTTTATTTTTATGTCACAAATTTTGGTAAAAATTGCAGAGGTGCGCCGATTTTTGAAAACATTCGGCCCAGCTAAAGATAACATGGCCACGTAAGACAACTGTTGAAATGTACTCTACTAGGCTCTATAAGACTATCCGTAGCAAAATTTTCCCCGAAATCGTTGCACAACACTTGAAAAAATGAAAATTGGAAAATTGACGCCTTGACGTTCCAAATGGCTCCTTCGGTACCCCAGGATAGACATACGTTTTGATAGCTTGTTATCTTGTCACCTGGATTGCGGTGTTGCCAGCTCATCGGACGTTTTTGCTATTTTGCTAGAACGCTATAAAAAAAAGCTTCGAGTAAAATATTGAAAAATAAACAATACAATAAGACTGGTGGTGTTTATGTTTATGCCAATTTGTGTTTTTACTAATTGTTATCAAATTTTTAATCGCTTATATCATGTCCATAATTTGCACATAAACATAACACAATTATTTTTATATTGTTGATTTGAGATTTTCCATGTGTATAAATAGTGTGTGCCTAGGTATTTTGGAGTTCATCAAGAGTAGCATAATATTTTGATATTCAAATTACAGTAAAATTCTATTTATAATAATAAAAATAATGCATTTAATAAATAACTTAACTTTTTGTTCTTGTGTTCAAATTTATTATAGGTTACATACATATAATTTTATAATACCTAACGATAATTGTCATTGTCACACAATACTTTTTGTAATCTACAATTTATCAATCAATAAAGTTATTACAGTACAAGTTATTGTTACTACAATGTAATATTATATATATATAGTAAGTCACACAAAATTTTATATTTAAACTAGTACGTAACAAATATTTTATTCAAAGCTTTCTTTATAAGCAAAGATAGCAAAAACGCGGCGTAAGCTGGCAACACCGCAATCCAGATGACAAAAATAACAAGGTCAGCTGCCAAAACGTAAACGTATGCCTATCCCGGGGTACCGACGGAGCCAGTTCGAACGTCAACGCGTCAATGTTCCGATTGTTATTTGCATTTTCGCGAAAATTCGCTACGGATAGTCATAGAGCCTAGTAGAGTATATTTCAACAGTCTTACGTGGCCATGTTATCTTTACCCTGTCCAAAGAATTTTCAATAAACCCTCAAACTGGGTGTAAAATTGTGATTTCAGTGTTTTAAAAAAGTTATTAAATACTTCCCCCGCCTATTGTAGCCTTGGAAGTAGCTAGAAAAATTTCAGTTAACTTCAATCATCTTCAGGTGAAGTCAACTACGGCAACTCGTTCATAGAATGGTTCTCGGAGTTGGCACGAAATGTTCGGGGTGAAATCCTACAGAGTCCAGTACCAAATAAAAAACTGTTTGTTGAACACCATCCTATTGGGGTCGCAGCTCTTATAACACCTTGGAACTTCCCTCATGCAATGATCACGAGGAAAGCTGGGGCTGCCCTTAGCGCTGGGTTAGTATGGGTTTAGCGACCGTTTCCTTCTTATTGTTTCAACTGTCAACGACCAAACGTCCGGTAAACGCAAACGCGCGAATTTCAAATTTGAAATTTTATAACTATAGGCTATTATATGTGATCTCTGGGGCACATTTATGAAATACATTGTACAGGGTGTCCCAAATTTGACCCGCATATAAAAGTTAACTTTTTGCCATATTTGTATTATTGTATATTCGGATAGATCCTTTTAAGGAAGAAGATTGAATATTTTATCTAAGAAACACGAAGGTTTTACAGCTTCCACTCTTGCTATCTTGACAGGTGGAGAGTTGAATTTTGGGCCATACAATCTTTATAACACTCAATTTAAACCTAATTCATCCATTTTCCGGGTTTTTGAATTAGAAATTGAAATTGGTCAAAAATGCAAAATCTACTTTTTTCACCATTGAGACTAAACTCACTATAGCCACAAAAATATTTTAGATGTACCTGTGTGATTAAACCTGCCGAGGACACACCTTTGACAGCTTTAGCGTTGATGAAACTCGCGGAAGAAGCGGGGATACCTAAAGGAGTACTCAACGTTGTTACAAGTAGCAGAGAACAAGCTCCTGCTATTGGGAAATTGTTGTGCGAGAGTCCCTTAGTTGCAGGGATATCCTTTACAGGTAAAGGATTGCTTGCAATAAAAATATCCAAGCTCGGAAATGACTCTGTCGCGGACGCATCGTAAAATTGTCCATTTCATGAGATGATCGAGCACGTCATGAAATGTGCTATTACCCATTAGCAGATCTAATAGTAAAATAATCACATTAATTACCAATAGAGGAAATGAGGAAGGAAGTGAATTAAAAGACCCTAATAACAACAAAAAGTTCATCGATTACTAAGAGGGTTTCGTTAGCATCCTATTTTACGATATGGTCAATCGCGAATGACCAAATCGTTTAACGTTGACACTTTACCGATATGGCACTCGTGGGTGTTCAAATCGTGAAATTAACGATTGTACGATATGGTCAATCTCGAATGACCAAATCACGGATGACGTTCCTGAAACGTTGACGATTTTACGTTCTGGTCAATCGCGAATGACCAAATCGTAATGCCCTGATTATTTTACGATATGGTCGGATGGCAAGTTGCTGAAACGTTGATGATTTGACGATATGGTCATAAAACGGGGACGATTTTACGGTGTGGTCAATCACGGATGGCCAAATCGTGAAACGTAACGACTTTACGGGATGGTCAATCGCGGATGACCAAATCGTAAAACGTTGACGATTTCACGTTGTGATCAATCGTGGATACCATAAACGTAAAACGTTGACTATTTTTCGATATGGTCAATCGCGTACGATCAAATGGTTAAACGTTAACAATTTTACGATATGTAGAATCGTGAATGACAAAATCAATCTTGGATGACCAAATCGTAAAACGTCGATTTTACGAAATGTTCCATCGCTGATGATTAAATCGTAAAACCTTGCCGATTTACCGATATGGTCAATCTTGGAAGACCAAATCGTAAAACGTAGATGTTATGGTATGGTCAATCACGGATGTCCAAATCGTGAAACGTAACGACTTTACGGGATGGTCAATCGCAGATGACCAAATCGTAAAACGTTGACAATTTCACGTTATGATCAATCGTGGATACCATAAACGTAAAACCTTGACTGTTTTTCGATATGGTCAATCGCGTACGATCAAATCGTTAAACGTTAACAATTTTACGATATGTAGAATCGTGAATGACATAATCAATCTTGGATGACCAAATCGTAAAACGTCGATTTTACGATGTGGCCAATCGTGGATGACCAAATCGCTAAACGTTGACGATTTCACAATAAGCTCAATCGTGGATGACCAAATCGTAAAACGTTGACGATTTCACGTTATGATCAATCGTGGATACCATAAACGTAAAACGTTGAATGTTTTTCGATATGGTCAATCGCGTACGATCAAATCGTTAAACGTTATCAATTTTACGATATGTAGAATCGTGAATGACAAAATCAATCTTGGATGACCAACTCTTAAAACGTCGATTTTAAGATATGGTCAATCTTGGATGACCAAATCGTAAAACGTCGATTTTACGATATGGTCAATCGTTGATGATTAAATCGTAAAACGTTGCCGATTTACCGATATGGTCAATCTTGGATGACCAAATCGTAAAAAGTCGATTTTACGATGTGGCCAATCGTGGATGACCAAATCGCTAATCGTTGACGATTTTGCGATATGGTCAAATTTATCTGGCCTTCTCATGAAATGGGCAATTCTACGATATGTCTCCGACATATACATTCATTGGTAGAAAAAGTGATTGAAATGTCTATCAAATGAATATTCGTGTGCCTGCTGAAGGGATAAAGATTTTCGGTACACCAAATAACCTGACATTGAGTTTTTTAAACCTTGTGGCATCAACTTTTTTTAATTATGTATTGTTTTTTAGGTTCAACGCAAGTAGGCAAGATCCTTTACAGACAGTGCGCCTCAGGAGTAAAACGACTAGGATTAGAACTAGGCGGCAATGCACCTTTCATAGTCTACGACTCGGCAAATCTGCAGAACGCCGTCCACAGCGCTTTAGCGTCAAAATTCAGAAACTGCGGTCAGACTTGTGTCGCCTCTAACAGATTTTTAGTACAAGATAAAATCTATGATGCGTTTGTTTCAAAATTAGTAGAGGAAGTCGAGAAATTGAAGATAGGCGACGGAAGTAAGCCTGGTATTAATCTTGGACCTCTTATAAATCAAGCTCAGTTTAAGAAAGTATCTGAATTAGTTGACGACGCAGTTTCAAAAGGCGCTGAGGTCAAAACTGGCGGCAAACCAGTTCCAGAGCTGGGAGAGTTCTTTTATAAACCTACAATCCTCACAAATATAAAAGAAAACATGCTGGTTTACACTGAAGAAGTCTTCGGACCGGTTATCAACGTGATCAAGTTCGAGACTGAAGATCAAAGTCTTCAGATAGCTAATAACACTGAAAGGGGTCTAGCAGGGTATTTCTTCAGCGAAGACGTCGCGCAAATTTTTAGGGTAGCGAGGAAACTTGAAGTCGGTATGGTCGGTGTGAATGAAGGATTGATATCGACGGCTGAAGCGCCTTTTGGAGGCGTGAAAGAGTCCGGGTTAGGGAGAGAGGGGTCGCATCACGGGGTGGAAGATTTCACGTATATCAAGTATATTTGTGTAGGGAATTTAAATTAATTTTTCTTTTGTATGTTTTACAAAGTGTCAGTTAAGGGCTGCGGGAGTATTACGTATTTTGAGAAGTGACATGTCGGCTTTCTTTAACATTATGTTAAGTTGTCAGCTTAACACTTGATGTAATAACCCTGCAGTAATAATTACAGTATGTCAGAAAAAAATTAAAGCCGGAATCGTTATTCCTCAAAAAGAAACAGTGGCGTATAGAGATGGCCGATATTGTTGTGTTTGAATATCTGTCATGTCTGATACAGTTAGTTTTTGTTTAGAACCGAAAATGGTATTTTTAGCGAAACTTGACCGAGATGTCTAATTGAACACGTTCTTATTGAAAGTAATTTGGACAACTAACTTAATCGTCAATAGCTCATAGTAATCTCTAACTTGTCATACAGGGTATCCCATTTTAATCTCCCCACCAAAATATTTCGAAAACTATGCATCTTAGAAATAAAGTTTCAATCAAAACCTGTAGCGTTTCGATATGGTCAAACGTGAATGGCCATATTCGAAGAACGATTTTAAGATTTGGTTAATCGCGGAAGACCAAATCGTAAAACGTCGGCTACGTTACGATATGGTCAATCGTGGTTGACCAAATCGTAAATCAACGATTGTACGATATGGTCAATTGCGGAAGACTAAATCGTCGGTTTTACGTTCTGGTCAATCGTGGAAGACCAAATCGTAAAACGTCGCTAATATTACGATATGGTCAGTCGTGGTTGACCAAATCGTAAATCGACGATTGTACGATATGGCCAATTGCGGAAGACCAAATCCTAAAACGTCGGCAACCTTACGATTTGGTCAATCGTGGTTGATCGGTTGTTACATTTGTGGATGACCAAATCGTAAATCGTCGGTTTTACGTTCTGGTCAATCATGGAAGACCAAATCGTAAAACGTCGACAATCTTACGATATGGTCAATCGTAGTTGACCAAATCGTAAATCGACGATTGTACGATATGGTCAATTGCGGAAGACCAAATCGTAAATCGTCGGCAACCTTACGATATGGTCAATCGTGGTTGACCAAATCGTAAATCGACGATTGTACGATATGGTCAATTGCGGAAGACCTAATCGTAAAACGTCGGCAACCTTACGATTTGGTCAATCGTGGTTGACCGGTTGTTACATTTGTGGATGACCAAATCGTAAATCGTCGGTTTTACGTTCTGGTCAATCGTGGAAGACCAACTCGTAAATCGTCGGCAACCTTACGATATGGTCAATCGTGGTTGACCAAATCGTAAATAGACGTTTGTACGATATGGTCAATCGCGGAAGATCAAATCGTCAAATGATTACAATTTACCGATATTTTCAATCTTGTATGACCAAATCGTAAAACGTCGATTGTACGATACGGTCAATCGCGGAAGATCGACTCGTAAAACGTTAGCAATCTTACGCTGTGGTCAATCGTGGTTGGCTATTTACCGATATGGTCATTTTTGGATGACCAAACGTACAACGTCGATTTTACTATATGGTCACTCGCGGAAGACCAAATCGTAAAACTTTGGAAGCCTTACGATATGGTCAATCGTGGTTGACAAAATCATTAAACGATGACGATTTACCCATAATGGCCAATCGAGGATGACCAAATCGTTAAACGTTGGCGATTTACCGATATGGATATGGACCTTTCTAGGTTAAGTGAACATTTTCAAATAGAACCCGCAATTTTTGCATCGGAGGAAATTTGAGGTCATTTGAAAATATTTGCTTGAGCTTGAAGGTCTTGGGCAAGGTCATTGTCAAGGTCACCGTCATGTTTTTGCCTCCTCGGAACCCTACAACTTTTGACCTAAACTTTTTCTAGAATGCACAGTTTTCGGAATATTAGAATGGGACATCCTGTATATTCTGAGCAAAATACCGCGATAAAATCGTATGAATCGCGCTAACAAAACAGTTAAGGCCCGAGATTGCTTTAGGTCATTTAGCAATCCTACAGTTGTATACGATTTTCGACCTTACACTTAGAAATATCAGTTACGAAGTGACGGTTCGTGAAATATCTATCATCACTAGTGTACAACTATCGAAGATGGAAAAGTTTTACTACCCCGCGTTATATTAGTAAAAACTTTTTGCTGAAACCAGCCCTAAATTTTTCGTGACAACGCATTCGGTAACACTCTGTTGATGGATGCCTTAAAAATAAATAAAAATAAATCATTTTGAAAACACGCGACCGCTGGTAACAAAAACACATTGCAAGGTCTTGGGTACGTTCACATTATTTACATATTTACTGCAGTCGTCTGATCAATTGTGAATTTATAACAATGCAATGCACACTGTGTAAATATTGGACATACCGAGTCCGTTTGTATTTATGTTTTAAAACAAAGCATGCATGTAAGTAAACATGGACTTTCTTTCCATTATATTCCTAGGTAAGCAATGAAAATAATGTATCTTCCAAAGTATCGATAGCAATATGGTTCAAAATTGTGAGCAAAATATCGCCGTCTTCCAAAAAGTCTTCCAAAATGTTCACGTAGATGTAGTGCGAAACGTTATCTATAAAATGCTAGGTATTTTTTCTTGTTATGTATAAAATTATTTTATTGATCTTGTAAATATTGTTATATTTCTGTTGAAAAACATTGTATAAGTACACTTAATAAAGAATAATAATAAAAAATTAAAATGTCGTCTGGTGTATTTTTTCATAGCAACCTGTGAATAACCTAATATACATCGAAATAATGAATGCTAAATATAAATGGTGTAGTTATTTATAATTTGTTTACATCATAAAAGCGATTAGAAAAAAAGATGTAGATAAAATAAAAAATAGACATATTAATCCCAATCGTAATGTAAGTGTTGATGTTAAAGTTCTATCACTGATCAAATTTAAAACATGAAAAGCCTATACATCGAAGGACGACTTCGCTATTACTAAGTTTTAGATACCATCGAAACTACCATAATTTATAAAAAAGCCCCCATGCTTTCTATAACCGTCCATCCTGAATTTGCTTCCGTTCTTCTAGATCTGTGTTTCTGGGTAACGTTTACAATAGCAGAAAAAAATCAATCAAGTAGGTTGACTCTGTAATTCTCAGGCAATGCTTACAACAGTTCATATAAAGGATTATGTGCGGTTTAAGTCAGACCTTCCGAGTAACAAAGTTAACTACGAACATTTTTTGTCCACATTCATACCAACGCGAGAAAACATAATCACGACAATGTTTATGCGCAGTCTTTGTACATAATTTCCAATGATACTGTAATGTGCTTGTGCACAATTTCCAATAATTACAAGAAAAACTAAATAGACAAATTTGATTGTTCATTTTTTTTCTAACAGTATGAGAGTGAATTAATACTATTTCTCTGTGAAATTTGTATACGCAATTTCCAATGATACCATGAAAAACTAAATGAAGTATAAATTTGATTGTTCATTTTTTTCTATATGAGACTGATGACCTATGATTTGTCTGTGAAGTTTTTAGACACAATTGATACAGACTTGCGTGTGCAGTCTTCCTGCACAATCTCCATTGTCCAGTCCTACAAATATTTCGAAAAGAATGCATCCTAGAAAAAAGTTTCAAACAAAACCTGTAGGGTTCCGAAATGGTCAATCGTTAAATGTGGAGAATTTTGCAATATGTACATTCGTGGATGACCAAATAGTTAAACGTTGACGATTTACCGATATGGTCAATCTTGGATGACCAAATCGTAAAACGTTGATTTTACGATATGGTCAATCGCGGAAGACCAAATCGTAAGACGTTGGCAATCTTACGATATCATCAATCGTTGTTGACCAAATCGTTAAACGATGGCGATTTACCGATATGGTTAATCTTGGATGACCAAATCGTAAAACGTTGATTTTACGATATGGTCAATCGCGGAAGACCAAATCGTAAGACGCTGGCAATCTTACGATATCGTCAATCGTTGTTGACCAAATCGTTAAACGATGGCGATTTACCGATATGGTCAATCTTGGGAGTAGAAATCGTACAACGTCTATTTTGATGTATGGTCAATATGCCAAACGGTATTTGTAGTAAAACTTGACCAAGATGTATAATTGATCTTACACGTGATTACCGAAACTAATTTGTAATTTGGGTAACTAACTGAATCGTCAGAAGTTCATAGTAATCTATAATTTATTATTCAGGGTCTCCCATTTTAATCTCCCCACCAAAAGATTTAAAAAGATATGCATCTTAGAAAAAGTTTAAAACAAAACCTGTAGCGTTTCGATATGGTCAATCGTGGGCGGCCAAATTCGTAGAACGTTGATGATTTCACGACTTGGTTAATCGCGGATAACCAAATAGTTAAACGTTGACGATTTACCGATATTGTCAATCGGGGACGACCAAATCGCTAAACGATGGCGATTTAGCGATGTGATCAATTTTACACGACCAAATCGTAAAATGTTGATTTTACGATATGGTCAGTCGCAGAAGGCCAAATCGTAAAACGTTGGCAATCTTACGATGTGGTCAATCGTGGGAGTCCAAATCGTAGAACATCGATTTTGATATAATGTCAATATGCAGTGACGTACCGAAAATGGTATTTTTAGGAAAACTTGACCGAGATGCATAATTGATCTCACACGTGATTACCGAAACTAATTTGTATTTTGGGTAACTGACTGAATCGTCGGAAGTTCATAGTAATCTATAATTTATTATACAGGGTCTCCCATTTTAATCACCCCACCAAAATATTAAAAAAAATATGCATCCTAGAAAAAGAAGTTTAAAACAAAACCTGTAGCGTACCGATATGGTCAATCGTGGATGGCCATATTCGTAGAACGTTGACGATTCTACGACTTGGTTAAGCGCGGATGAACAAATCGTTAAACGTTGACAATGTTGCGATATGTACATTCGTGGTTGACCAAATCGTAACACGTTGATTTTACGATATGGTCAATCGCAGAAGACCAAATCGTGAAACGTTGGCGATCTTATTATATGGTCAATTGTGGTTGACAAAATCGTTAAACACCGGCGATTTACCGATATGGTCAATCTTGGATGACCAAATCGTAAAACATTGGCAATCTTGCGATATGATCAATCCTGATTGACTAAATCGTTAAACGCTGGCGATTTACCGATATGGTTATTCTTGGGTGTCCGAATCGTAGAACATCGATTTTGATATATGGTCAATATGCAAAATGGTATTTTTAGTAAAACTTGACAGTGATGCATAATTGATCTTACACGTGATTAGCGAAACTAATTTGTAATTTGGATAACTAACTGAATCGTCAGAAGTTCATAGTAATCTATAATCTATTTTACAGTTTCCCATTTTAATCTCCCCAGCAAAATATTTAAAAAAATGCATACCAGAAAAAAAAGTTTAAAACAAAACCTGTAGCGTTTCGATATGGTCAATCGTGGATGGCAAAATTCGTAAAACGTTGACGATTCTACGACTTGGTTAAGCGCGGATGTCCAAATCGTTGAACGTTGACAATTTTGCGATATGTACATTCGTGGATGACCAAATCGTAAAACGGTAATTTTACGATATGGTCAATCGCGGAAGACCAAATCGTAAGACGTTGTCAATCTCACGATATCGTCAATCGTTGTTGACCAAATCGCTAAACGATGGCGACTTACCGATATGGCAAATCTTGGGTGTCCAAATCGTGGAACATCGATTTTGATATATAGTCAACAAAGATGCAGTGACGTACCGAAAATGGTATTTTTAGTAAAACTTGATCGAGATGCATAATTGATCTTACACGTGATTACAGAAACTAATTTGTAATTTGGGTAACTAACTGAATTGCCAGAAGTTCATAGTAATTTATAATTTATTATACAGGGTCTCCCATTTTAATCTCCCTACCAAAATATTAAAAAAAATATGCATCCTAGAAAAAAAAGTTTAAAACAAAACCTGTAGCGTTTCGATATGGTCAGTCGTGAATGGCCAAAATCGTAAAAAGTTGACGATTCTACCACTTGGTTAAGCAATGATGTCCAAATCGTTGACCGTTGACAATTTTGCGATATGTACATTCGTGGATGACCAAATCGTAAAACGGTAATTTTACGATATGGTCAATCGCGGAAGACCAAATCGTAAAGCGTTGTCAGTCTCCCGATATCGCCAATCGTTGTTGACCAAATCGTTAAACGATGGCGACTTACCGATATGGTCAATCTTGGGTGTCCAAATCGTGGAACATCGATTTTGATATATAGTCAATATGCAGTGACGTACCGAAAATGGTATTTTTAGGAAAACTTGACCGAGATGCATAATTGATCTCACACGTGATTACCGAAACTAATTTGTAATTTGGGTAACTAACTGAATCGTCGGAAGTTCATAGTAATCTATAATTTATTATACAGGGTCTCCCATTTTAATCTCCACACCAAAATATTTAAAAAAATATGGATCCTAGAAAAAAAAGTTTAAAACAAAACCTGTAGCGTATCGATATGGTCAATCGTGGATGGCCAAATTCGTAGAACGTTGACGATTCTACGACTTGGTTAAGCACGGATGACCAAATCGTTAAACGTTGACAATGTTGCGATATGTACATTCGTGGATGACCAAATCGTAAAACGTTGATTTTACGATATGGTCAATCGTGGAAGACTAAATCGTAAGGCGTTATTAATCTCACGATATCGCCAATCGTTGTTGACCAAATCGTTAAACGATGGCGACTTACCGATATGGTCAATCTTGGGAGTCCAAATCGTAGAAGATCGATTTTGATATATGGTCAATATGCAGTGACGTACCGAAAATGGTATTTTTAGTAAAACTTGATCGAGATGCATAATTGATCTTACACATGATTACAGAATCTAATTTGTAATTTGGGTAACTAAATGAATCGCCAGAAGTTCATAGTAATTTATAATTTATTATACAGAGTTTCCCATTTTAATCTCCTCACCAAAATATTGAAAAAATATGCATCCTAGAAAAAATTTTTAAAACAAAACCTGTAGCGTATCGATATGGTCAATCATGGATGGCCAAATTCGTAGAACGTTGACGATTCTACGACTTGGTTAAGCACGGATGACCAAATTGTTAAACGTTGACAATGTTGCGATATGTACATTCGTGGATGACCAAATCGTAAAACGGTAATTTTACGATATGGTCAATCGCGGAAGACCAAATCGTAAGGCGTTGTCAATCTCACGATATCGATAATCGTTGTTGACCATATAGTTAAACGTTGACGATTTACCGATATGGTCAATCTTGGCTGACCAAATCGTAAAACGTCGATTTATATGACCAAATCGTAAAAAGTTGATTTTACGATATGTTCAATCGCGGAAGACCAAATCGTAAGACGTTGGCAATCTCACGATATCGTCAATCGTTGTTGACCAAATCGTTAAACGATGGCGATTTACCGATATGTTCAATTTTGGACGACCGAATCGTTTTTTACATAAGTTCCAACGGCACCAAGAGAAGCTAAAAGAAATGCTAATTTGAATTGGATCCATTTGGATCGGAATGACGTTAAGGCCCAGGGT